ACCAAATTTAAATTTATCAATTAACTCAATTTTAGACCCTTTGAAATTCTAATACGTAACAAAGGCGATACAAAAACGTATTTTCACTTTAAACGTTATGTGTATTGAACTTATTTCAATGTTTTGTTAATATTCTGGTTTTTGTTTATAAATTTGAGTGGCTTACGATGCCCAAAACACTAGCTAAAGCTAGCTGTCTGCATATTGTAAAACATATCAGATCTAACGTTCTTTACGTGTTGTCGTAGACACATCTAATATTTCAAACTGTGATTTTGTGTGACAACCTTTAAAGTAAATCAAAACTTCAAGGCATCAGAGAATCGTAGGACTGTCTGTATGTTCTAACTAGTCAAGCATCTGCCGCCTGGTAACGTAAAAACGAATGAAATAAATATTTGGAGTGGAGCTATATTTTTACATTTCAACATAGGTGAGCTGGGTTGTAAAAAGATTATTTGTTATTAGTACTTTTGTACAAAAGATAAAATATTTCCTTATATATTTGAAATATTCTCATGAACAACGTTTTGTTTTTACTGGAAAATTTCTCTCGTGACATTTTTATACATTTCAAAATGCTTATTGTTCACATTTTTTCATCGTTAGTTATAACAACTGGTTCACCGTTTTATGAACAGATCTTAAATCACTGCACTAAAATCTGGATTCGTTCATTTAGCATTTATTGAAGTTCTCAAAACAGTGATTGTAATGGTTATCATATTAACTTAATTTAAACTGAAAATTCACAGATACTATTTCCCAAAAGTTTTAAAACATTTTATTTTACTATGTCAGAGTACGGTTATAACAGTGAATGGTGTTTTGGAAATAATAATTTAGGTTTTAATGAATTTTAGTTTATATACAATGTACAAATTTGTAATGTGTAATATTACACTCTGCATATATTACATGTTCTTCTATAACAACATATTTTTGTGTATAAATAATTTTAAGTTAACATAAGTATCTTCAACCTTAAAAAGAATTAACATTTCCAAGTACAGTCACGTGGCTTCAACAGTAGAAAAAAAATTTAATAAGTTGGTGTTAATAGGAGTCTTTTGATTAACAAGATATACGTTAAAAAAATATAAGCTAGTTGTTGTTAATAAGGGAGCTTGCACGTGAAATAACGTTTGAGATTTAAAACAAACTAACATGCCTGTTTAAGACATTCTCAGTTGATGTTTTTCTAAAGACAACAGATAAATTACTGGGTTTAAGGAATGTTAATGTCAATAACCAGAGACTATAGACATGTGGAACAAGGTGAAATTATTGACAACGTAGGCTTATAAAATAAAGCTACATTATATTGGTTAAGCGAAGCAGTGATTTTAAATGCCTAATCAGGCAAAACATTGAGGCTTTTTAGACTTAATGAATGTGATAAAAATCACGTTCAGCTGCAGCTACCCTTTTTTCACATTCTCTTAATTCGTTTTCACTGAATCCCCAATCAGAGGTGTGCAAAAAACAACAACAATAAACATTATACCACTGCATTGAATATATTGTACTGATTATAAACAGCATTTGGAATATGATTTAGACTTCTACATATCCAGCATAGTTGATGAGTTTTGGTATTCAACTAAAACAAAATTACACCACTGTATTGAATATCTTGTGATGATTACAAATAGCATTTGGGATATGCTTTAGACATCCAGCCTAGCTGATGAGTTTTTGTACTGAGCGAAAGACCTCCTGGGTAGTGATTTGTGTAGGATAAAAGATAGATTTGAAATGCCATTTTTGTACATCTTTGATTAGAAATCTGTATAAAATAATTAAGAATGTGAAGAAAAACAAGTTCCGATTTAGCGTGATGAGTGGATGTACTTTCGTGAAACTCGAAAAAGTTCAAATTTGACAATCAATACGCACACGAATTTGTTTATTATTTTAATAACAGAGCAATATAAATCCATGCAACAAATGGATCAAATACATCACAAGAAAACAACACTTAGCATTAGTCAACTTTAGTACACACAACAAAAAAACAAATTTTATTTGGTCACCTTTTACGCATAACTAAACAACGCATGACATTTACAATGGTTATCATCCTAACAATAACTGAATAAGCACACCTATCCATACTTATAAAGCATTGCACAGTCTCCAAATGTACATAAGAAAGTGAGGATTCCCTGTGATTGAATCAGAAATATAATACTTTGTTGTTGTTTTCCATAAATACATATCCACTGTTGAAACCTCTAACAAAATATTGCTTTGTGGACCAATGTCTGTATAATTTGGATGTGATGTTGCCAACTATAAATGTTCGATGTCATTGTGATATTCCTTCTACAAAAGAGTTAGAAGATACCAGAAGCAAATATTCACACATCTAATTAGTTCACTTGTTAAAGTTTCCTACCAAGCACTTATTAGGGCATTAAGATATTCCAAATGTTTCAAAATCGGAAGCAAACATGTATAATGAGCTAATTAAATTATTGTACATTCATGTATAGAAATCTTCAACAAAGAAGAACAAAAGAGAATGCTTCAGCTACTTCAATTCCATAGCTTTACATCAGATAAATTATTAGTTTCACAAAAGATAGAATAATCTGCAATAATTAAGCAATTAAAACGAATCAAGGGACAAATCGAAGCTTAAAAACTTCGATTTTACCAGTAACAAAAAAAAAGAAGAGCAAACATGGCTCGTTTTCGATACTACAGACTTACGCGCATACACAAAAATAATAATTTTGAACGACTAATCCGTCAATAAATACCTGTAAAAATAAAATAAAATAATAAGAAATTGGTAGTGGTGTTTCTATGAAAGAATGTCTGCTATCGTACTCCTAATATACTAGAAAAAATTAATAATTTTCCCGCACTTTTTTCGTCGTATTCTAACGTAAACAAGGTTTATTTACAATGATTATGGAAACCACAGCCTCTTTAAATCCAAATTATAAGGCAATATTTGCTTTTGCAATATTTTCTGATATATGTAGTTTTCACGTATTTGATTGCTTAATACACTATTTTTCAAAATATAAATAAAGCAGGCATAGAAAATATACAGGGTGGACTATGAAAAAGTGGAATCGAAACAGTATTTCAGGAATAATGTGTAAGCGGTGACAAACAATTGTTAGCGAATTTCCGAACAAACAATAACACATGTCTGTGAATAAGAATTGGTGTAATTTCATTAAATACAGTTTCTCATCTTTCTTTTTTTCTCTGCAGTTCATATTAATGTTGAAAAAACACTCAGCCCCTTTGTCTACTCACTATTAAAAGACACAATCAGAAAATACTAATAATTTAATATAATATTTTGTACTTTATACTTTACGTAAACCTGAGTGAACTCGCATTGGCCTAGAAATAAGCGCCTCTATACATACAAATTACAAAACAATAAATATATGGGCTATATCTGTTAACCCATAAAGAAAATCACTTTTTTAACACTAAATTTAAAACTGTTTACGTTATATGGAACCTCAATTTATCTTGTTTGCATGGTTGTTTTGAAAGTACCTACATTTTATCACTATAAGTTGTGTTTTGTAATATAAATTAAAATATCCAATAAACACAAAAGTCAAAACAAGTAATTCAAACGATTATTTCTAGAATACTTGAAACACGCAGACATCCTCTGTTCGACAAACAAATCACTTGCTGTTACTCACCTAATATTATGAAATTTTACTTGAAACATTATACAGAATATTTTTCTTACCTATTGTGTGTCTGTGTGAATAGACTCATCATTTTTGTCAAAAATATAGGCGATATTGTATCTATTAAGCTTAAGTACGATCTAAACAAATGATTGAAAGCAAGAACAGCGTAATTTCATACAATGACAAACATGATCTTACCAGCCAGTAATTTCAGTTTGTAGAATACGTTTTTAAAATATTCGTCAATGCTGAATATGGTTATATATTCTTTAGATGATAATTATATCAACAGAAGAAAGCAATTACTTAATAAAGTGAAACACGGTCATATGTTCATATGCGAGTTTCAATAGTTTCCACTTTCAATCAACTGGGCAACATTTGTATTGGGAATATACACCGATTAATAAATTTATTACCGCCATTACTGGTCTTGGAATATTCAAGATATTATTGGTATAAAGATTATTTTTAATTCTTTATGGACACGGAATTTTCAAACTAGTGTCAAGAAATATCTTAGAACAATCCCCCGGTTTGATAGCGATAAGTTCACGGACTTATAACGCCGAAATCCGGGTTTCGATTCCTCGCGATGAACAGAGCAGATAGCTAATAGTTGCTTTGTTCGAAAACATATAAACAAATCTTCGAACATCGTGTAAATTGAAGCTGACTTGGAAGCCAATACCTCAATACTAATATAGTCAGCTTCATGTCCGAGATAAAAACTAAAACATTGTTTGTAACTCCTTAGATATATTAAACAAGTAGCTTTGTTTTTTGGTAAAATTTAATATTTCAAATGTTGTTTCGTAAATCTTTAAAATTTAAACAACCTACAATTTTAACATAAAATATAATACTGAGTATCACAAGTATTATAAAACTACTAGAGGCTACTTCAAATACTTTGATTGTATTTATCTTTTGCTGTCCTGCTTATTCAAAACGTGGACAACATTACAGTTAAAACTGTACACGCAATCATGTGCATTGACGAAAACTAGCTTATCGAAAAATTCTTTGATCAAATTGTTGCTACAATATTACGAACTTATCAAAATTTGTAATGAGTACTTACTTTTAAAGAAACATCAACATTTTACAAAATAAAATATTTACAGCAGTTTACCATAAGTAAATAAACCTAGTATTAGGTATTGATTTTAGTAAATTATAATATTCTATAACAGATTATTTAGGCAATTGAATTAGTTAAATGAAAAAAAGTTCAAATAAACAACGAACGGACTGCTAAAGAAAAAATGACGTGACTTGAGATTGAGCACAGAAATATTTTAAAATAACGTGATCTACAACTATTTGAATGATTGTTTTTCTTTAAAGCTGGCAGGTCATATGGCATTGACGTTGCGCCATCTAGTGATCGCTGCTTCAAACAAAGAAAAGCTGATAAGAGAGAAGAAATTACCAAGATAGCTAACAGTACCACCAAGGAAGCCGCAAAACCTGGTGCTGACATACAGATAACGCTGTCATGATCTCTTCTCTGGGTATAATTCACTGGCGCTGAATCATTGTTTTTTAATGAGAAAGCCAAATCTCCAACCGAAACTACACGAATAACCCTGTTCAATCCGACTTGAGTCATCTCTTCTAAGGAGGCATTAGAGTCACTACCTGAAAAGTGGGCTTCAACATTTTTGCTGACGTCACGTTCCTCACGTGGTCTGCCGGCAGGAATGTAGCCAGGAGGAGGCCCTTGGATATCTTCTCGAACAATATTAGGTTCCACAGGATAGGCGCACTGTTCGGGACATTGGTACCTGCAGATCTGAATAGTACACTGAAAGTGAACTTCCATAGAGTCTGGGAACTTAAAGGCCTGAAAATGTGCGTAAGACAGAACAGACGCACTGGATCCAAAATTTTTAATTTTTGTAAATCTACTCATGAGCTTAGGCCTGACAATACAGCCTCTACTGTCAACAAGCTCGATAGGTGCTCGCTTGCCATCGTGGGCAATACAGTTTCTGACCAGCATGTCAAATCTATTCTCATCATCCTTTATAGCTAGTACCATGGTCATGGTCTGACCAATCTTGACGATTCCAGCTGCTTCGCTAGCCCAAGGCCCCTTACCTACCTGGATCTGCATCCAACACCCTACGTTGTCTCCAGCAAAGTCAGCTCGCACCACATCTAACATGTCCACAGGGAAAGGACGGAAAGTAACAGCCTTTTCGTACTGATCATGCCAAGTGCAGCGTAGTTTCCGAGCTTGATCCCACACCTCTTGCACCTGGGGATCATATTGGACTATGATAGTGTTCTCGAAAAACGTGCCGCTACCACTGTTTCCACCATAGCCATAAAGACCATTCTGTGTGTTTCCTGTAGTTCCACAACTATTAATAGAAACGTCGAAGTAGACACTCTTTCTACCTGATCCTGCAGGTAGGTAAACACAGCTACCGTAGTTATAGTGGCCCTTACTAAATATGATTCCGTGAAAAGCTTTATCAAAATCAACAGCGACTTTCATCAAATTTTTCTCGCATTTCACATCCAAATGAACAATCTTTGGCATCTCGGGCTGGGGTAATGGCCAATGATCAGTTCCAGGAAGGTTGGGAAATCCTGGGAAATTGCTACTCTGTGGTTCTGATCCAAATCCTTGATGTCCATCAAGCCCGTTAGGTCCTCCAAATTCCTCAGGTCTTCCATTAGAAAGATAGACAGGTTGAAGAGGGCCATAACTACCTAATCCATCCTGGTTGAACTGGTGTCCTGCAGCATACCCTCCTGTTCTGCCCAGTTTCACATGCTGGGCCAAGGAAGGCAAAATAAGTGAGCCTTGAAGACTAGGGAGTGGCAAAGGTACGGGAATGGGAGGAACATTGTGGTTAGACAACAGTGGACCAAATCCTGACTTGTGAGGAGGATAAGCTTTTTCTTCCAAGGTTTTCTGACCCTCTGCTGTTTCTAAATCACTACTAGATACCTTTTCTGAGATTTTGTCAGAAATTCCCTTTTCAAATTTTTCTTGTGTTTCTTCAGTTGCAAGAGAAACCTGAAATTATCGCAATATATATATAGTATTCCATTTTCAGGAATGAAAAAAAGAAACTGAATGAGTTAATCAATTTAAGCTGAAGATGCTATTTAGAAAAAAATATTTCAAATGATCAAGAAATACACATAAGTTGATCTAAGGAATATATGTAACGTGGAGAAACTAAAATTTGAGAGATTAGGTATGGATATGTAAATCTTAATAGCTACGTATGTCTGTAATCAGTACATAAATCTTTATATATATATGTATATATAATAATAATAATGACGTGCCATAGAAGGTCAAAATACGATGTAATGACCAGTTTTCAAGATAATTTAGTACTCACTAACATACACAAAATGATAATCGAATATTACTAAAAAATTAATTTATTTCCTTACTCTAACTTTTAACTTTCACATTATTATTTATGGTCTCAATTGGGAAATACGAATTTAGGAGTTGTCCGTGTAAACTGTTCGATCGATTTATCGACCATGGATTGGTAGCCAGCCACAAAAGGCACATATAAAGCATTTGGTATTTGGCTAATCTGGTGGCAGGATTTTCTAAATATTAATTAACAACTGTAAATATATGATTAAGCAGCAAACCATACTTTATTGTTAACATACAGATAATACTGATAAAAACAACAACAAGAATTAGTCTTTCAAGAACCTGACAATCATATTTCAACTCAAACTATACCTCATTCGTAATTAAGCCTTTTACGATTAAATCTCTACAGTCAACAATTAAAAACACATTAGACTTTAATTCTCGATAATTTCTCTACTTTCTTCGTTTTGGGATGAGGTAGTGGTAATTTAGTCTCTGTATTAAAACTTTAAAAAATTTCCTCGGAGATATAATCATTTTATTAAATTATCAAAATATTTCGTCACCCACGTCAAAGAGCAACGCCCGGTCCTGGCCAGACGCAACTTTCCAGGTCAGGGTTAGTTGAAAAAAGAACTCTACATGCGTTATTTCCCGCCATCATCTCTCTAAGTTCATCAGGAAGAAAAGCAACGCATAAAAATTCGAGAGTCTGGTTCTGCCGACGGCGGTTTTAGTTTTTACACGGCAAAACAAACTAAAAGAAAATTGCTCTCATTCCCCCTTTCCCCCAGCATGTGTAAACTTTCTACGAGAACGAGATTTAGTTACTCCCAATGACAGGTTTGATCAACAGGTTTGTTAAGCAGCAGGGAACGGAACTGGTAGTGACAGCCGTTGCCCAAGGCAACCGATTAAAGCAAACACACTGCTATATCTTCCGATCCGTTACCTATTTCCCTAGCTAGTGACCACGGAAGATGGTGGGGGAAGTAGAAATAAGGGAAGCTTCTATATAGATTCAACTTTAAAATATGCTTGTCTCGTGCAGCTGCTGGGTCTGTCATGATCTTGTGGGCCAGAGTACCGGTAAATCCCCTGTGGCGGCACTATTACACACTTTCCACTAAAACCGGGAAGTGATGTTGATTACATGGTAACCCGGATGTCTTATCACATGTGAGGATATGTTCCAAATCAGTATTTAGGTTTAACAGATCGAAATTATTAACTTGACGTAAATGTACAAAATTGTTATATTTCATACATTTACGAATGAAGATAATTAAATGAAATGTGTCACAGTGTTCGTAATTTTAACACGAATTTTAAAATTGGCAGACAAAACCCATTCTCAAAACGTTCACCAACATTAACCTAAAGATGAAGATTAAATACCGCTGCTTACAAATTAAGAGATAGTACATGCTGTGATCAACTTATTGCTTTCCTAAGGCCTTCTTTTTAAGTCGAACCAGATAAGCCTTTAAAGAATTTTGTATACTATTTGCAGGATTTTACTCAGAAAAGGAGTAATATGAGGCAAAAAGGAATGGCCAAAATTAACATTTTTAAAAGTTTCCTTATTTTGTTTGTGGCAAAACTACTAAGACTAACTTGTCACAGTCCCTAATTTTGAACTGCTGACCAGAGGAGAGGCAACTGGCTGACAGCACACACCGCCAACTTTTGGGTTACTCTTTTACTATCGAATAATGGGACTGACCATAACATTATAACGCCCCAACGGCTGAAAGAGCAAGCATTTTCGATGCCGTATTTCGATTTTGTAACCTGCAGATTGCGAATCGAGCGCCCTGACCACGATCCTCAAAACATTTTACTTGTTTGTCACTGGATGATACTCTTACCCCCATGAATGTGTATATGTATGTCCAAAAAGTTATTAAACAGCCCACGTGCAAAAAATAAATTAACTAACAACAAGAAAGGCACGATTTCCAGCTGCTGAATCTGTTTCATTCTGGATTTAAAAATAGCGTTTTCGGAGAACCCTACGGCTGTACAACACCTGCAAACACCCCTAAATATAAGTTTTAAAGACAATATTTTATAAATGATAACGTTAATATATATATATATATATATACACTCTATAAAAAGTAGTTTGTCCTTAATATTAATATATATATATATACATAGATATGTCTCTCTGTGTGTATTCTACTTAAATAAATACACGAACCCAGAGTCAACTGAGATTTAAGTTAGTCTCTGGAAAAAGTTACTAAAAACACCGACTATATATATGTATAGCGTTTTATTTCGTTGTTTCTTTTTTCAACTAAAAAACACATTATCAAGTAAAGATATTTTCGCTACCATTTTTTTCTGCTTCGTTAGATATTAAACACTACAACTCAATAATTTATCAGAATAGAATGAACCATCTCAAGGACATCGTTGTTTTACGACTTTGTGGAGAAGTATAGTTTCAGCCGTTTTCTAAGGATGACATCGTATGTTGACCGGTTCTTCTTTGAACATATGAACTAAAAATTGAAGATAGTCGAGGTTCATTTATATATAGTTTTTAGACCTTTCACATACAGAAGACTTTTGAAAGCACAACAAAATCAAATAAACAAAGACGACAGTAGGTTAATAATGTTACTTACCCTCAAGACTATCGAAAGAATCAGAAGGACCTTTAACCTAAACATGGTGTTTCTAGCTGTTCCTCTTCCTTTCTTCTAAATGGTTTGAAAACACAAGTATTAGAAGACACTTATTGTCATCATTATATTTCATAACCAAGAATCTCAGAATGTTGTAATCTAAAAAAGGTCTTCCTCTCTTTATCACCACTTAATTAACAAAGCACACAAATATCAACGCTTAAAAGACCACACTTTTTTGCCGGCGGGATAGATTTTACGTAAGGTGATCCGGACAAAACCACATAAAAAGAACGAATAAATTTAGAAAACAAATAAACAAAAACAAGCAGTATAACAAAAAACTGTGTTTGTATTTAAAGTGACCTAACTCCGGCAGTTACCAATGCTGTATTATGGTATACTAAAAACTTCAGAATCCTAACCGTAAATTATTTAGATCTACTGGGTCTAGATAGCATAGAATCATAATTGTTGTCTTCAGGAGTAAGAAAAGTTTCCTCTATTGAGAACTGTTGTAGCTTAGTAGTTAGCGTTCTGGTCTGTGTGATCTGAGGGTCCATGTTTCCTATCTTGTTGTATCATAAACGCATTGTACAGTTTGGGGCCGTGGATGCATTATAAGAATGACGATCAAGTCCTACTATTCTATTAGAGTAGCCGAAGAGCTGGCGGTGAGTGCTGTTGAGTAATGTCCCTCCCTTTGGTCTATTAGTTGATAATTAGGGACGGCTAGCTTTGCGTTCATTTCCGAACTAAACAAATCCTGTATCGATGTCCTCTGGTGAAGATTTAATTTATTATTTTCATAATGTAGGTTGTCTTTTTTTAGAACTTTCGAATGTATATGTTCCACATAAAAGAGAGACGTTTTGATGATTATTAAACATTGTTGCATAACTGATAGTAGATCGATTAAATGCTTATTCAAAGTCGTAGACTGCTTTAGAAAATGAAAAAGTTCTTGATTTAACATCATAATTTCTTAACGAAAGATATCAGAAGAAAGTAGTATCTGCACGGTCTTATATCTCAAGAATCATCAGTATGATAGAACTTCCTTTCGTTTTTGTTAAACATAGCCTTTTTCTACCCAATAGTGTATCTTTCTTAATGGGTTAGTATCTAATTAGATTCACTACATAATACACCATAGCTATTACAAAATGCTTACGACAGACGGTAAGGATTCCAGTTTAGGTCACCAAGTCTTTACTTTTATCTCGAAATTAAAATTATTCAAGTCAGGTTGTAAAACAAAAAGTATTATTACCGAATTCTGTAAAATTGCAACAGGAAAATCTGTCGTTTGAAAAAGTATTTTGATTTATTCAATTTAAAAAAAAAATCACAACTACTTTTATATATATATAATTGACAGTACAATGACTTTAACATATGTTTCACTAAAGTATGTTTAAAGCGTATTTGCTCTAAATTTATTCATTGTTGGATTAGTTTGTTGTAGGGCAGTATTGCTAAATAGATTACTTTTCTTATTTGTGGTAATCAACTTAAATCTGCAAATCACACACCATAAACTTTCTTCCCATAATAAACATTTAAAAATTTGCAAGAAAACTAAAACTTTTATATAAAATATAGAAATAAAAAAATCTAAAATAACTGCAAAACAAAACTTTCAGTTTGCCAGTAATACACGTAAATTCAAACAAACAACACTAAAGTACCAACTAACGACTGAGTGAGAATACAAAAGTACACAATAAGCAGACAAATTATGTTGTTAGGCCTTTAGGACTATAAAACTCTGGTATTTTGGTGTGGACATATTCAGTTATTGGCCAAACTTGCAGTTATAAATGTTATTATTAATTACAATGGTAAACAATACAGTACCATTTTAGAAATAAAATTTGTTCCAGTTATAGGGAAATATTATATTTTCTTTACAAAAATATCGTTCAGTAAGCTTATGCTCACCCTCGGCCTCAATCAGCGCTGTTTTTAAGCAAATCTTCATACTGGGTACATACTGTCTTACCTTTAAAAAACACTTCCTATCAACGT